ATTCTGTTTAGTGTGGCCACAGCCCTAGACATTATCATGAAGGTCGAGCGGGAGCTCTGGTGGCTGAGCTGTAAGAAGCTGCACTGCAATCTCAAAGTTATGCTGTTCAAATCCACCAACTGCTCAGCAGGAGAAGGATGGGCAGGACCCCCCCCCCGCCCCCTGTGTGCAATTTGCTACCTCTGACAGCCTGTGAGGGCCAGCTCCAGGGCGGCCCCGTTGCAACAGTGCACAACAACAAAAGACGTTCCAGGCATTTTGTATGCTGCTGCTGTCCTGTCAAAAGTCCTGCCATCTGTGAAGGGTGCCACCCAGTGAGAGGAAGGCCTTCCCCACCCCGAGTTCCCTGCAGTGCCTCAAAGAAGAGGTGCAGTCACTCTGACTCACAGCGACCCCATGAACATCAAACCTGGGCCTTGCCCCACCCCGCCCGCCATCACCGCCCTGACTTGCCCAAGCCCTGCGTCTCTGAGCCCATCCACCTCCTCCAGGGGCTTCTGCTCTTCAGAAGACATCGCTGGCACAGATGAACCTAACTCTGATTTGGTGGTAGATGCATGTTACCTTGGGAAGGGCAAGGCTGCATAAAAGAAGGTGGTCAGCACCACATCCTCAAGAAGAGGACGAGAGGGAACGGTGAGGTAGTCACAGAGGACGAAGGGGCACTGTGAGGTCCTCCAGCCTGCACTGTCAGGAACACCGAACACGTCTCCAAGCAAGCACAGGAGCGGACAGAAGGCCAGGCGGGCGCAGGTGTGTGGGAGGACCCCGCCCTTGCTGCTCGGGGGTTTGGTAGATGCTATTTCTGCATGGTGGAGCTCTGGTGGTGTACGTGGTGGTGGTGTGTACCGTCGAGTTGGAACCTACACACAGCAGACCTTCCAGTGGGTTTTCAGAGACAGTAAGTTAGTCACGGGAGGAGATGGCCCATCCTTCTCCCAGAGAACAGCTGGTGGATTCAAACCTCAGATCTCTAGGATTGCAGTGCAGCTCTGCACCCCTGGGCACCAGAAGTCCCTGGGGGCAGACGTCGTCTGTAGCAAAGTCAGCACCTCTCTGGAGGTTCAAATCCACCAGCAGCTCTGTGGGATGAAGGTGTGCACTCTCCCCTTGTGGGATTTGCAGCCTCTGAAAACCCACTAGGTGGTCCGCTGTGGGTTGGCTCCAATTCAGTGCAATGAGTTTGAGTTAATTTCTACGTGTAGATTTATAGGAACTGAAGACATATATTTGCATACACCCCCATACACCACCCACACCCCCCCAAAAAACAACCCCCCACAGCTGCTGACTGAAGCCTGACTCATCTCAACCCTCCGCCCGCTTTCTGAAGCTGTAAATCTTTGACAGAGAGGGCTCATATTTGTCGTTCGAATCCGGGGCTTCCCCCTGCTGCCCCTCCGTCAGTGGCCCAGGAAGAAGCTGTTGTGTGTGGTGTAGAACCGGCTTGGAGCTGGCCCCCAGCGGCTTTCCAGAGGCTGTAAACTGCTCAGGGGGAGACTGCCCATCTTTCTCGCGGGGAGCTGGTTCCTTTGGAGTGTCAGAGCATCCCCTCACCCACTCCGCCCCCCAGCTCCCGGTCCAGCAGTGGTGGGGGCGATGCGGGAGAATAACTTACAAGGCTTCCCCTCATCCAAGTACAGGTCAGCACAGACAGCCTTCTAGCGAATTCCATGCGGTGCTTCCCCCAGAGAGGCAGCTCTGTCCGGAAGGCCATGACCAGCAATTTGTCCAACCACCTGGGAAGAAGAAGGGGTGGAGGGTGAGGAGAACTGAAAAGCCAGGCTCCTGACTGCCTAAGGGGCGCAGACCTGATTTGCACAGCTATGGGAAATGGTTGTTTGCTTTGAACCCACTGGCCTCACAGCTTTTCCGTCCTTGTCACCTGTGCGATATTCAAGGCAGACGTCCCTGTCTGCGGTGCCCGGCCCGGCCACGAGGTGTCAGCACTTGCATCTTAACGCGCACAGGTCGGCGCGGCGTGGCCGCCAGTCCTCGCGACGGCCGCTAGATGGGGCCAACACCCAGGAATCCGCCCAGGTGCCTCCAGGTGCCCCTCCAGGTGCCCCCCCAGGTGCTCCCCCAGAGGCCTCCAGGTGCGCGAGTTGGGCGGCCCGGGCCACGCAGGCGGGAGCAGGCGGGCGCTTGAACGTCTCGTCTTCACCATCGCTTATTATTTCAGTAACGCGATGAGCCCTCTGGGCCCCGGATTCCCCTTTCTGGTTCCGTGGGGACAGGTCAGGAAAAACGAACAAGAAGTCAGCCAGCCCCGCTCCAATCCACCACCAGGTTAAAGAGAAGCTCGGACCTTCAGGTGCGCGGGAGGTGGTGTCTGAATGACCTCGCAGAGTCCAGCGGACCGAGAGGAGGTGGTGCCAGGGGGGCAGGACAGGGGCCCTCCTCACCCTCCCCCCCACACACACACACAAGGCCCGGAGCCAACAGCGGTGCTTTCAGGGAACCCCACCACCTTCCCGACGACCCGGGCTCAGGCCCCAGCACTTCTGTGAACGCAGAGCCGGCCCGAAACCACCACTGACCATTTCGGTCCTTGGCCGTCTGGGGCTTTGTCCGATGGTGAAACCAGGCCTAATTCTTTGTTTTTTCAACACCTCGTGAAAAAGCGATGTAAATACGATTCTCTCAAGGAGCCCACGGGCCGAGGAGTATTTCTTGATCAATAATTTGCATCTCTAGTACAAAGAAAAATTAGATGAGGTCGCCTTCAGAAGAAAGGCGCTTTTGCCAGAAGATGGGAACAAAAAACAAAACAGAAGATTAGCGTGAAAATGTTAGCGCCATTAAAAACTAATAAAGCGGCGAGGCGGGTGGAGAAGGAAGCTGGGCGCGCTCAAGCGTGCACGGGGTAGCTGACTTCACCACGTTTCAGAAAAATAATGAGAGCTGGACAGAGACCCCAGCCCCCTTAAAATACATAGCGAGCGTTTGTCAGGGGGCAATTTCAGGCTCCAGTAATAGTCTTAGCGATGCGCCTACTATGTCCCTTTGTTCCTTGCTGAGACTCAAGGTGTTTCTCCGGGCCTTTCACGAAAGCCAAGAGCGGGCTGCCGAACCTCTAATACCCTTTGCTGAGAAATCTCCTGGGCGATGGGTGAAGGGGCGGGAGAAACTGAGGAAACCGGACCAGAAAGCTTTGACCCGAAGTCCTCTTCTCGGCAGCAGCTCCCTGGAAGGAGCGCCCGGCCTGGCACTCAGCAAAGTGGGCGCGGAGCATCGGATTATTGGGGGCGTTGGAAGAATAAATAAGGCCGTCCACGAATAAACCAGTGCTCGGTGCCTGGAGGCGAAGGGGGCTGCCGAAGCGAGCGCGCGGGCCTCGGTAGCTCCGTCGCCGAGAATTTAACCTCTGGAGGGGTCTCCTTACCCATTGGGAACCGCTTACACGGTCCCCCCAGGAGCCCCGACCCCAACTCATCTTTCTCCCAAGCTTACCAAACAGAAAAGACTAGAAGAAGGAAAGCCGGCGTGTGGAATGGCAGCGGAGGCTCCACGCAGCGGAGGCCGGGATCCGCGGGCCCGGGTGGAGAGACGGCCCGGCTCCCCGCTCCCCGGCTCCTGGCCCCCCAGCTTCCCCGCTCCCTGGCTTCCGCCCCCGGCTCCCCACTCTCTGGCTCCCGGCTTCCCCGACTCTACGCTCCCCAGCTCCCTACTCCCCAGCTCCCCTGCCGGTGTGTGGAGCGCCCTGCGCGCACCGGGCGCTGCTGGCGAGGCCCAGTTGGGGCGCAGGATCGCATTCAGGTTTCTGGGAGAGGGACCCCGGCTGGGCCTGGGGTTACAGGGTCGCTGCAGCGTTCCCGTCTTTTCCGGGCGCCAGTTTGCCAGCTGGAGCTTTTAGCTGGAGGAATGGAGACTCCGGGAAGCCGGCGCAGGCGGGCAGCAGCCACTACGCGGGAGAAGAGCGGGCAGGGGCGGTCATTTCACTCCCGTCCCCAGCGGGCACAACGCCGCCGGTTGGAGACCCAGCGGCCCTCGCCATCCCGCCACTCCCTGAAGCACCAGCCCGTGTCCCCGGAACCCTGGAGGGGAAGCGGGGCTCTGGGGTTCGCGCCCCAAATCTCCACCGGTTGCTCGGGAAGGCCCTGGACGCTCCAGCCGATTAATTACCGTCCTGTTACACGCTGTCAGCACCGCCCGGCCTCCCGGGCCCAGTCCGGCCCCCTCGGCTTGGATGCTGGGCCGGGGCCCGATAACGAGGAAATCTAATTACCCGCCTCATCACTCATTAATGAGACCGCGCCGCGGCTCGCGAGGCCCTGGGGGGACAGCCGGCTCTCCGGGTCCGTTTTCTATCCCAAACTCACTTTTTGTAAAGGAACATCGCTTTTAATTTCTTTTTTTTTTCCTCTGGACACGTGGGCCCATTAAATAAAATGTGAGAATAAAATAAATGTTGCTAAGACGGAACGCTGGGACGCTTGGCAAAGCAACCGGGTCCAGCGGCCGGAGCTGCACGGCCGGGTCCGCGCGCCCGGGTCTTAGAGCCGACGGATTCCGGCGCGCCTCGCCCCGATTGGCCTCCGCTGCCCGCAGATGCCCGCCGATTGGCCCGGATCCCCGCGCGGGGGCGTGGCCGGAGGGGAGTAAAAACTCGCTCTGGGCAAGTCGACTTTGGAAACTTTTTCCAACCCCGAAAAGGGACTGGGCCTCGCTCTCCGGGCTCTGCCGGCGCCGCCCCGCGGACCCCGGGGGTGGACACTCCGCGTCCCCGCGCGTGGGCAGAGCGA